TGAGGAAGGGGCGGGGGGAGGGGCGTCTCCTCTAGGGGGCGCCGGGAGACAAAGCCGGGCCTGCGGGGTGGGGCGGCCCGGGCTGCCCCGCCCCCGCGGGTGTCGGGCTGCAGGTGCCGCTGAAGGGAGAAGCATTGAAACAAGCGGCCTAGGAGGAGGGGGCTAGTTCCGCTTGGGGCAAGGGGCGACATGGAGAGCCCTTGGCTCCAGGCCTCTTCTTGGAGGAAAGCGGAGGACGGGCTGCAGGCTTCGGGAGCAGCCAGGAACAGGCGCCTGCCCCGCCCCACCACGAAATAAAGGGAGCAGAAAGAAAATGTCGTCAACTACCGGCCAGCAATGTGAGGCGGCACGGGCACCCCCTGCGAAAAACACCAGCGCCGCTGCCTGCAGGCGGTCGCTGCTCACCCCCACCCCCGGTCAGGCGGCCGGTCCCCGATCGACCCAGCACCGCCAGTCCCCGTCCAACCGGCACCACCACTGCCACCGCCACGGCTGCCTGCAGGAGCTCGGCGCCGCCACGCCCACACCGCCTGCGGGCAGTCGCCGTGCCCCCAGCCCCCGGGGGCACGCGTTGTTCATGGCCAGCGGCTTTGGAAATCATTTAGAAGCTGACTCTGGCCGGGCCCGAAGAGCTGCAGAAATGCAGAGGGAACCACAGCCGGACTGGAAGTTTCTTGTCGTGTTCAGAGTTACTTGGAAACGTCACGAGAAAAAGAAAAGGTTAAGGTAGCATCAGGACGAGCACTGCAGATCAGTCGTTTAACAGCACAAAAAAGGTGCAGGCATCTCATCGTTATTGCTGCAACCAAGCGTTATACAGGCGACCGCCGCTGGGCACTCTTAATCGGGTCCTGAAAACCCGAACGTCAAGCGAAACGAGCGTTAAGGGAAACCGAAAGTATTTGCTGACCCACGTTGGCGACCGCGAGCGTTATAACGAAACTCGCTGAGCGCTAAGTGAAATTGGGGATCAATTTCAAATGAGCGTTATTGTGAAATAGTGCTAAGCAAAAAAGCATTAAGCAGGGCTTGCCTGTACCCCTGGAAATTCAGAGTGAAGGTATTTATGAAAAATGGAAACATGGTGTAGAAGGTATAGGTATAGAGATGAGCCTTCCATTCCCAGTGTATAATAGCCACATCACTAGGATTAAAATACACTTGCAGTCACAGATGAGAGGTAATTGATTTTTAAGTAAGCATTTGGGGTTTTTTCATATTTTTCTCAGTGGTGCCACAAACCAGTTAAATGTTATCTGGTTGCTTTAACTGTGTATCCCTATGTGGAAATAAAAAGAATTAAAAAGAGCAAACAGGCAAGATTTGAGGTCCCAGCATCTCTCAACAAGACAAAGCTTAGTCCCTCAGTCCCTGACA